ATTATTTTGTGAAGTGGAATTGTACTATTAGATATTTTTCATGATCTATTTTGAAAATCCGAATTTGTATATTTATTTACCTTTTTTAGGTACAAATGACACATTTATATTTTTTTAAAGTAGCATTAGTATTTGCTAACATGTCTATATAAAATACTGTGGTGAAAGTTGGGTGCCGAAGATATCTAATATGTCATGTATTCTAGATTGATAAAGAAATTCACTTGTTGGTTGTGGCAGGTTTTGACGGCGTCGAGATCCACGCTGCAAACGGGTACATCATTGAGCAGTTTCTCAAGGATAGTGCCAATGACCGCACCGACGAGTATGGTGGCAGTCTTGAGAACCGGTGTCGCTTCGCTCTTGAGGTGGTCGATGCTGTCGTGAAGGAGGTCGGTGGTCACCGTGTGGGAATCCGCCTCTCCCCTTTCACCGACTACATGGACTGTCACGACTCTGACCCCCACTCTCTTGCGTTCTACATGTCTACAAAGCTAAACGACCATGACATCCTCTACATCCACATGATCGAGCCAAGGATGACCATTGAGGATGGCCGGCGAGTGGTGCCAAAGCGGTTTCTGCCGTATAGAGAGGCGTTCAAAGGTACCTTCATTGCCAATGGTGGGTATGACCGTGGGGAAGGGGACAAGGTGATCGTCGAGGGGTACACTGACCTAGTGGCCTTTGGGAGACTATTCCTAGCAAACCCAGACCTGCCAAAGCGGTTTGAAGTTGGTGCGGATCTGAACAAGTATGATAGGATGACCTTCTACACCCCTGACCCCGTCATTGGCTATACCGACTACCCCTTCCTCGAATGATCTAGATGTAACTTCTCTTTCTTTGACGACACAATTAATTGTGGTCATAATTAAATGTATGTGTAAGTGTTGTATTTCATCGAGCAATAAACTTTGTGTGGTGATTGTTGAAGCTATATATTCAAGTTTTTTTATAAGCACCACTCTATCCTTCCCAAAATATAAGACTTGTTCAGGTTTATAATCTTTGATACACTATTTCAACTATGATTTTCATTTAAAAAACAGTAAAAGGACATATTCTAGAAAAAGCCATTTGCTAGACAATCATTTCTCAGAAGTCGAAAGGGGTCCTAGATTGCACGAGCTCGAATCAAGCATGCATGTCATGGAATTTTATCGTGGCCTCCTAAGATGATTTTACTGTTATTAGAGGGATACCTTATGGTCTTATCGGTTCAAAATATGCTATTTTTAGTCTCTTCATTTCTTTAATTTAAAAAACTGGACTTACATTTTGAATGCAAATTTGTAGTTACATGTATTTGCATTAAAGTAACCAAAGAAAACAGTGTCGACCATATTGTTTATTGCAAAAAGGGTGCATGGCACCACAAAATGGTAAGCAATAAATTATGTAAGTTCTTCACCACTGCCTGTAGTATATATCATTGTTGGAGGAGCTTTACAATAGTCATTTCTAATCAAATTATGGATTGAGAATAGTGACTTTTCATGTCAATCCCACACCCACATCACAACCAAGCGTCCCACACGGCTACTAAAACTGTGAAAGAAACCCGCAATGAGAGATGGGGTAAAATCCTTGAAATCCCATTGACCGGAGCGATGCCTCATTATCGGGTCACTCGCCAAGGAACCGGAAGTTAAAGAAGTGATACATTGATCAATGTGACACCACAAAGCGACGTGGCATAATGCATATTTCGCAACTCCTGGTTGAATCCTACGTCAATGAAAACTTCAGTGAGTCTAGATACATGCTTCATTTCTTATTCCCCCACCGTTGCCACCAAGAAAAGCTGAAGCCTCGGGTGAGGACCTACCATAGAAAACAACTTTTTGAATCTGAAGGTCCATGCAGTAGCACATCGAAAACAGATAGAGGTCTCGGGAAAGAGATATTTTAGAAGGTGATAGAAATACAACATACTTACATCTAGTAGCAAATTAATCAAAGGAGGAGGAAAACACTAACTGTCTAGAGGGACCAAATAGTGTTACCTCTGATCTCACTTAGATGATTGATATTGCCTCCTCTTTTTATGAAGACCTTTTAAAAAAAGATAGATCTAGCTTTAGTTTATGTGATGATTTTTTAATTGAAGGTGAAAAACTCACTAGCCTTAATAATTCCTCCCTCGAGGCCTCACTTGAAGAAGTTAGAGAGGTTGTGCTTAGCTCTAAAGGTGCTCCTAGAACTCATGGTCTCTCTTTCTTATTCTACCAGGATTTTTGGGATGTCATTAAGAATGACTTAGTGGCTCTATTTAAGGATTGTTATGCCGGTTCACTAGACATTGATGGAGTCAATTTTGTTGTACTTTCCCTTATTACACCTACATGAATAAAAGATACGCCAATTAGTCTTCTAAACCGCTCCTTTAAAATATTCACTAAAGTGCTAACCAATAGGCTAGCTTGGCTTATGAACTGGACGACAGCTGGCAACCAAACTACTTTTAATATGGGGAGTTTCATCATAGACAGTGTAGTTACAACACATGAGGTGCTTCACCCTATCAACCAATCTGGAGATCCTGACCTGGTTCTAAAGCTTGATTATGGAATAGCTTTTAACAAGGTCAATCTTGACTTCCTTTTAGAGATACTCACTAAAAGGTATTTTGGTTCCCTCTGGGTTAATTGGATTGAGATGGTTACCAAGATGCTCTTTAAAGCTAGTTAGCAAAATTTGATCCAAGAACTCTGTCCTGAATTCTATCCAGGAGGCATCATCTGCCTTCAATATTCAGATGACACTATCATATTTGTTAACAATGGTCGGGAAAAAGCTAAAAATCTGAAAAATGTGCTTACATGTTTTGAGAATGTTTCTGGTATGAAGATGAACTACTCTAAGAGTGAACTCATTCCTCACGTGCTCAATGATGAGGATTTAGTGGATTACATGAATATTTTTGGTAGCTCTAAAGGAACCTTCCCCATCAATTTCCTAGTTATCCCTCTTTGTTATGAAAAATTTAGAAGATATGATATATACAACCTATTGTAGATAAAATTGTTAAGAGCACTGCTGGATGGAGGGGAAAGCTTTTGTCTTACTCTGCCAGGTTAACCTTGTTCAAAGCCTGCCTTAGTAGTATTCTACTGTACCTGCTTTCCTTTTTTTGAAGTTCCTTAAATGGGCTTTAGATCTCATTAACACTCAGTTAGCTCATTTCCTTTGGAATGATTTTGAGGGCAATAGAAAGCTTCACCTAGCCAACTAGAATCTGGTTTGCCTGAAGAAAGAATTTGGAGGGCTTGGGCTCCCCAATCTTAGATATGTTAACATGTGTCTCCTAGCAACTGGATTAATAGATAGAACAAACATGATAGTAAGATTTGGAAAACTTTTATTGGTCAGAAATACCTTAGGGAGTCTCCCAACATTTTCTCTTGCAAAGCTCAAAGCCCTCTAGGTTTCGGCAAGGAGTGATGTCGCCAGCCAAAGTTGTCAATCATTAGCAACCACAAGGGGGGAGCCGGAAGGTGCCAAGGGGGCCCACAAGCTCAAGGAGCGCCCACCTAGGGCGCGTCATGAGAGCTTGTGGCGCCCTTGGGATCCCCTTTGACATGAATCCAATGCTGAAAAATCCTATATATCCAGAAACCTCTGAAAAGTAATCTAGAAACTTTACTCTGCTGTCACAAGCCTCTGTTCCGAAGTGAACTCATCTGGAAGCTTTTTTCGGTACTCTGCCAAAGGAGGAAGCAATCACGGAGGCCATCTTCATTATCCTGCTGCCTCCATGGTGTAGCACTCGGTAAATCCCTGTTTGCCGAGTTTTGTTGTTTTACCGAGCGTTTTGTCCACGACACTCGGCAAAGTATCTGTTTGCCGAGTTTCATATTTTTACCGAGTGCTACACCATGTGGCAAAGAGCCTAACACTTGGCAAAGAGCCTAACACTCGGCAAAGAGAAAAATTCCAGTAGTGACACGTGTGGTTGGTCAAACCCTGTGTTCCATTTTGTATCCCACAACATGTGGATTTTGAGTGCTAAACCTTGGTGATACCCCTAGAAAAAGAGTAAAAACATTTCCTCCTCTAAAAGAAAAGTAAAAACATTTCCTATATGGGTCGTGCCCCACATGGCGGCCTACGCGAGGAATAGAAGGTCCACTCAAAAAAGAAAAAGAGGAGGTCTTCTTGTACCCCCTCCCCCCCACGGGCCCTCCTCAGAGTTCAGACTTCAGACGGTGGTCATGCTACTGCACAAGTTCAAATCTTGGTCAACTAGTTGGATTCTGAAGAATGCAACTACTGTATTTCTTTCTCTAGTTGACAGTAGACATTTCCAAAATAAAGCTCTCTTTTCCATTACAACCTCTGCAAAAACTTGTTACATCAAGTTACAGAGGGAGTAGCGTATTATTCGCATTTGTAGCATTTAATTTTTGCGGGGGCGCATTTGTAGCATTCGACCATTGAAGCAAATATTTGTGGGTTAGTTTAGGTCAATACCATGATCATTCAGGCCACTGCCTTGTTGACTGACCTTTTGATACTTGGTGGGTTACCACCCCCCAGAACTCACTTTCATAGTGCGAGATTCCAAAAATACAGCAGATTTCCTGTTAAGCAAGCTTGGTGGAAGCCCCATGATTGACTTGCCCATGGCCCACGGCAGCCATTGTGGAAGCCTAATTCTTGGATGACTTGACCCATGTCCATGGCCACTTGGCAGTGAAAAGCATCATCTAAAGTCCTCATTGGTGTGCTACGGAGCTCGTCTGTCCTGCCGACTAGCACATACGTAGTTTTCATGGTAATACTGCCTGCCTCGTACTGTATTATGCAGTGATCCCAATCTGAGTCCTGATCTGAATGTGGCCAGTGATGTCTTAGTCTGAATTTGATTGGTCGAAATGAATTTGGGTCAGCTGAGCATATTATTGCTTCCTGTGCCAGTCTATACAGTATACATACATCCTTTTCTTCCTTCTTCGAATAGCAGAGGAGAGCAGAGCACATTCACACTCTCTCCCATGCCTCTCCTCTACATATTATTGCTTGGGCTTCTCCTCTCACACACTCCTCACTGCTGCTCTTCAGCACCTGCAAGAGGTACCCTCACTGAAGGCCAAGTGCTTGCCATTGGCGATAAGCTCGTCTCGGGGAACGGCAAGTTCGCCCTCGGCTTCTTCCAGCCAGCAACGAGCACCAGCAGTAAGTCCCAGAACACCACCAGCTCCAGCTCCAGCTGGTATCTTGGCATATGGTTCAATAAGATCCCGGTTTTTACTGCCGTGTGGGTTGCTAATCGGGAGGAGCCCACCCCCCATCACAACACCAACTCAACAAAGCTCAAGTTCTCAAGTGACGGCAATCTTGTCATTGCCACAAACCGTGCTGATGCCGTCACTGAATCCCTTGTTTGGTCCACTCATATTGTGAATAGGACACAAGCCAGTAGCATACACACCGCCACCTCCAATGCCGGTGTTCTCTTGAACAGCGGAAACCTTGCCCTACTCACAAATAGCAAAGTGATGTTGTGGCAGAGCTTCGACTACCCAACAGATATCGCGCTTGCTGGCGCCAAGCTTGGCTGGAACAAGGTCACTGGTTTCAGTCGCAAGTTCATATCAAAGAAGAGCCTCATTGATATGGGTCTTGGCTCATACAGCCTAGAACTAGACACCAGCGGCGTCGCCGTCCTCAAGCGCCGCAACAATCCCTCTGTAGTCTATTGGCATTGGGCATCCTCCAAAACATCATCACTGAGTGTTTTACCAACACTAAAGACAATTATAGATTTGGATCCACGCACAAAAGGCTTGATGAACCCAATATATTTTGACAACGACCATGAGCAGTACTACATGTACACTTCACCGGAGGAATCATCGTCTTCCCTGTTTGTCTCACTAGACATCTCTGGTCAGGTCAAGCTGAATGTTTGGTCGCAAGCCAACCAGTCTTGGCAAACCATATGTGCTGAGCCTGCCGATGCCTGCACTCCAGCTGCTACCTGCGGACCTTTCACAGTCTGCAATGGCAATGCACAGCCATCCTGTGACTGTATGGAGAGCTTCTCTCAGAGGTCACCGCAGGATTGGGAGTTTGAGGATCGAACAGGAGGATGCATCAGAAACACACCTTTGCATTGCAGCACTAGTGGTAACAACAAAAACGTGACAAGTTCAACAGACATATTCCACCCCATTTCTCAAGTTGTGTTACCCTACAACCCACAAAGCATAGATGTTGCTACCACTCAGAGCAAATGCGAAGAAGCTTGTCTCAGTTCCTGCTCCTGCACTGCTTATTCCTATAACAATAGCAGATGATCTGTCTGGCATGGTGAATTGCTCAGCGTAAATCTGAATGATGGCATTGACAATAATTCTAAAGATGCCCTTTACCTTCGTCTTGCCGCGGCTGCAAAGTCTGAAAAGAAGAAGAATCAAACAAACATAAGAGTTGTGACTGCTGCAAGCATTATTGCTTTTGGATTATTGCTAATGCTCGTGCTGCTGTTACTGATTCGGAAGAACAAATTCAAGCCATTATACAACAATCAAGGTACTGGTGGTGGGATAATAGCCTTTAGATACACTGATTTAGTGCGTGCTACTAAAAACTTCTCAGAAAAGCTGGGAGGAGGTGGTTTTGGTTCTATATACAAAGGAGTCTTAAAGGACTCAACTAGTATAGCAGTGAAAAGACTTGATGGTGCCCGTCAAGGAGAGAAGCAATTCAGGGCTGAGGTGAGCTCAGTTGGACTGATCCAACATATCAACATTGTGAAATTGATCGGTTTCTGCTGCGAAGGTGATCACAGGTTACTTGTGTATGAGCACATGTTAAATGGGTCTCTTGAGGGTCATCTATTTGAGAAGAGCAGTGCTGCTGTCCTAGATTGGAACACCAGATATCAAATAGCCCTAGGAGTTGCCAAAGGATTGTGCTACTTGCATCAGAGTTGTCACAAATGCATCATACATTGTGACATTAAGCCAGGAAACATACTCGTGGATGCATCATTTGTTCCTAAAATCGCAGACTTTGGGTTGGCTGCGTTTGTGGGAAGGGATTTTAGCCGAGTTATGACTACATTCAGAGGGACTGCTGGTTATCTTGCCCCAGAGTGGCTTAGCGGAGTTGCAATCACACCGAAAATTGATGTTTACGGCTTCGGCATGGTACTTCTGGAAATCATATCAGGAAGGAGGAATTCCTCACTAGAAACACCATACAACACTAGAAGCAGCAGCACCAGGTACCAGAATGTTGATTTTTTCCCTGTGCAAGCCATCAGCAAGCTTCATGGCAGAGATGTCAAGAGTTTGGTGGATCCACAGTTGCATGGTGACTTCAATTTGGAAGAGGCTGAAAGGGTTTGCAAAGTTGCATGCTGGTGCATCCAAGATAATGAGTTTGATCGGCCGACTATGGGTGAAATAGTCCGGGTTCTCGATGGTCTGCAAAAGATTGATATGCCCCCGATGCCAAGACTACTTGCAGCTCTAACAGAACAATTTGGTGTTGTAACTTCAGTGTAATATTAATAGTTCATAGAGAGTGCTTCACATACGATCGATGTTATTAATCTTTGTTTCTTTTAAATTGTAATCTGGAGTGGAGGGAACGAATGAAGAAGACAAGCTTTCAGTTGCTAAATCCTCTGTTATTTATGTTTTTGTATGGGAAGCAAACATTGTGGAAAAATATTGCAGAACTTGAATAGCTCCTTCGCCGTTGCTTAGTAAGGTTGACTGAACTTACCAAATTACGTCACTGAGTGTTGTGTTGAACATTGCATTAGGCTGTTGATTTTCTTTCTTCTCTCGGAAAAAGATTGTTTGTTCCTTGCTGTTCTATTTGTTGCCACATTTCCCGTTCTGACCATAGAAGATAAGTTATGCTCTGTTCTATAGGTGCTCTGCTTTTAGCTAATTGATGTATGTTGTATTTCCTTTATCCTGAACTTGGTAATGCTATAAAAGAAAAGCTGCCCATAAGTAGCTTTCTTTCTGACCTTCTGTAGATTAACCAATCACACTTACAAGTTCACTCAGAGGAAGAATCGACTGCCTTCGGAGCAGGCATGTGATCGACCAAATGAGAGGGATTGATGAATCTTATGTCTGGCTTCGACCATGGTCCAATTCGAATAGTAGTTCAGAAAGAATCGCAATAAATGTCTAGGTAATATAAGTTAAATATCAGTCCTGAAGAGGTGGACCTGACACTCTGACATTGCCACTACTTCCACCGTTCCTTTTTTTTGGACTGAAATACCACATGGGGAGCCCCTGCAGTGTGATTTTCTATAGATAAGAAAAGGTGCCCTGCAATGGACTGGAGGAGATATGGAAGGAAGCTCCCTCGCTGTTACTTTTTTAGGATTTGCTGACATTGCCAAATTACGTCTCGCATGTATTGATGTTTTTTCTCCCTCAAAAACAGAGTGCTATTCCTTTTGCTGTTCTGTGTTTTGCCATTTCCCCTATAATGCCAGCCTGCCATGCTCACTGAAGCCATTGCCATGAGGGTTCGTGAATTGTAAGCTTAGGTTGATACCATGAGGTGTAGGTTAAAACCACGATCAATGTATGTCTATGCTTCGCTCTTGTCAGGCCTGCAATGAGAAGTTGAGAATTTCTAGTAAAATAATTTTTTACAAAATTGTGCATAATCAAACAGCAACTGTTGCTGCAGTTGGGCGAGGAGGAAGATGTCAGGTCTGAAATTTGTCGGTGGATATGATCAAGAGACAACATAGCCTGTATAATCATCAGGTATTTCCAAATTTCCGTGTGATCTGTAATATCCTTGATAAGCCAATCGTGGCATCTTGGATTCTAATGTTGTGCTGAAATGACACCAGTAGGATATGTAGGTGTTAGTCCGAAGTGCATTCTAGGCTTTGATAAGCTGAATATGAACTGTTTTTCTTTTCCACAGCACGCATACAAATATTTTCTCATAAGGTAAATCTCCTTTCTTTGGTGAAGTTGGAAGGTTATTTGTTAATCTCATTAGGTAGAAATTTCTTGTGCAGATCATCTTTTTCACTATATTCACAGGCTTGCATTTTTTTAGTTCGTATCATTATTTATTTATTTCAGGCACATATGGCGCACTCTGGTCATGATGCCAACGTTTTTTGCTCTTAATAAGCAGTTTTTTAGGCACTTCTGATTTTCTGTTTGGTTCTTATGTCTTCAGTTTCAATTTTCTGTGATTCTCAAGATACATTTGTTATCTGTTCAGTTGAATGAGGAAGCTGCTTCCTTGGACTGGACCTAGCCAATAGATCATGTGCTGAGGGGCAGAAGATTTTTTTTCCAGGAGCCAGATGAGCGATGATGTTGCCGGTCACATGCAATTTGGCTAGCAATTGTCCTTGTGTTGTTAGCAGCTGCTCTTGAATGCGTTGATAGAGAGAAATCCAAAGAGTCCCCACAATATACTTGTGTTACATCTACAAGTTGAACCTGATCCTCACCATGACGATGGACAGGATTTTGTTCAGGGAAATGCCAAGGTGAAGCCATACCAGAATGCCATGCCTGTGGGCGCATCACAAAGAATCTGGTCCTGGTGATTTAATCCTGAATTCTGGAAACAAGATGGGGCTGAAGGCAGATCTGTGGCACTGAACACAGAGTTGTGGCCATGTGCTTTTGTATGACTTCTCTGTTTTCTGATCATCTATTTTGATTGTAATGGTTTTTTTTTTGCGGGTGGTAATGGTTGTTCTCGGTTTTAATGCACGTTGCATTTTTTTATTGTAAGACTACAGAATGCAGTAACAAGGAAATCTATTTGCAGTCACGGGCCAGAACTAAACTGGAGAAGGCAGTTTATACCACCGTAGAATGATCGTGGTGTGCCGCCGCGTGAGGCCCTCTAGCAAAGAAAATACTACAGCTTGCAAACCTCAATATACTGTTAGAGGGAGGATGCCAAAACTCGACGTTGTTGCCTGACTCGGACCCATTTCGTGGCCTATAGCTCACCGTTTTGTGGTCCCGGGGAGACTATCATGTTCGGCAACCCTCAAACAACTAATAAAGGGAAGCTGCCAAAACTCACATTTCTTGTCAATTCGGAACCGTTTCATGGGCCCATAGCTCACCGTTTTGGAATGAGTACATTCTTATGTAGTCCTTATTGAAATCTCTAAGAAGACTTATACTTAGGAATGAAAGGAGTATAAATTAGGTGCAACGGTAACATCAAATACTCAACGCATTATATACTTTCTCTTATGGTCCATGCACGTGGGGGACTCACATGTATGAGCTCGTGCACACTTTTCTCATGGCATCGGCATGCAACGTACTTCTTTGCCAGGGAGCTATAGCTAGACGTAAGATGCACTACATGGAATGGCGCGCTTCACTGCGCCCAGTAAAACTGGAGCTACTCAATTAAACTCTCCTCTGTTCACAGGTTGCGTATAATTAAGAACTACTGCAAATGTATCTTGCATACAATTTGAAACATCAAATTACAATAAGCAGTAAGGTAAATAGGTCTCATACACAACTCAACGAAATTAACATCAAGCTAATAAGTAGCATAATTACCATGTGAGTATACAACAGCTCACAATTCAGCAATGTCGAATATCTTTTTTTTTTTGGAAGAAAGAGAGCTTAATATATTACCAAGGGGGAATCTAGTATTTTTAAATAGTTTATCAGCATTAAGTTTAATTCTCTCAACATGCGGCCTCCCATCACACAAAGTGTGCCATGTTAGCATCCACTAACACTGGTTTGCAAACCCATGCAAACCACATGCATACTCTTTGTTCACACATAGTGCAAGTATGAAACATTTCTACATTAATAATAGTAGCTCTTGATTTAGATCATTTTCTTCATACATAATACATCTGAAATAAATCTTTATTCCCGCCGCAACGCGCGGGAAAATCTTTATTCCTCTTAATAACTCACGTGGGCACAACACTGAGCATAAAGCTTTACCTTTGCTGATAAGTCAAGAGTGCACAGTACCACTAAGGTCAAAACCGAAAGAAAATGAACCTAAAAATCTAGCACGAACAAACTTTCTCTCTTTTAAAACTGCTCTCTTCTCACTTTTGTTTTTTTCCTACGACCTCTCTCTCCTGTCATCACTCCTCTCTCTGACACATGTTCGCATGGAAGACACAAAAAATTGACGTTCTCTCTCTCTCTCATGTTTTTTCTCCTCTCTTTCCTTTCACATCTGACTTGGTACACTGACCCGCATGCCTAGTGTTGTGAGTTGTTACCGATGCAGCTGTGTCAAATGCCCTGGATAACCGTGCTTCCCCTGCAAATTGTTTGCGATGCAACAAACTAGAGCACGAATCTCAGCGGGACTCAACAAATAGGATAAGCGGGGGTCGGTACTCCTGGGACCAATCACACCTTTTCGTTTTCTAATATCATGGCTATCATCAACCATACTACCAACCATGACTATAACATATGCCATAACATCCATTACAATGGACACCAAACATGCAGATTATCATTTCCTAATCAATCAACATGCCACTATATTGGGGCTACCAAGCCTCCAAAGAAACAATGGGGTGCAGTGTAGTGTAGGAGAGACATGGATTTATCGAGCATATGCGTAGGGACCCTGTATCCTGGTTATTGGTACATGACGATGGGTCTCGAGATAAGTGACGGCCCAAAAAATTAAGTTTCGCCATTAGCAGACAACAACAACACAGACATAGTATGCTTTCATAGGCTCTTTGCTCCAGTTGTTTCTGTCCTAGGTCCTGTAATATTTTGTTTGTTTCCTGCAACCCGGTTACCAATATATACCCACGAAAGCAACAAACGAACTTGAAATCGGTCATGTTTCTTGTTTGCACACATGGTTTTGCATGAATCAGTGAATAGCACGGGCTCGCATGTGTATCTTCTATGCCTAATCTACGCATGGCAATGGTTGAAAATTTGTGATGGAAAATGAGTGAATCACTGTGAATAAAAGGAGAATGGAAGAACAGAAAATGTGCATCTTGTTTGCGGCACAAAACAAACGCCTCCATTATCGCATGCTCATTTTCTACCCTCGCGACCCACACCATACTCATCCCACTTGGCCATGCATACACAAAATTCCCTTCTATGCTACCACAGGAGACAACCATTGCCCGCAGGGGGTTGAGATGAACGTGTGTGCGGTAAAGGGTCCCTATCTGAGTTTGCATGGATTTTATTCTTATCTCTTGTGTCTGTGTGTTTCGGCGACAACTCACTAGAGAAACAATGCCCATATGAGCTCCCAATACCCCTTGGTGACTCCGGTAGGCACGTAGAGGATCCGATGAGCATGGACGGTCAAGTTAGCAGGGCTCCTACGTATATGCTGTCTCAAATATTACCACTCACCAAATAAATGGCTGTGAAATCAATGAGAAAAATACCAATGAAATATGTAACTCTAAAGAAAACAAAATTTGTTGCACGAACCTCAAAGTAACAATGGCCGGTGGATACATGCATGGGATTAGCGAGCATTGTAGAACATCATTTCT